TGGGCAACTCACTTTGGTGAAATCAGTCCTTCAGACTCTTCACAACTACTGGTGCCGAATCTTCATTATTCCAAAAAGTTGATAAAAACCATTGATGGTCTTTGCAGATCCTTTTTATGGTCAGGTAACTCAAATAGCAAAAAAGCCTCTGTGGCTTGGGTGGATGTGTGTAAGCCCTTGAATTCAGGAGGGTTGGGCATCAAGGATTCAACAGTGATGAACGTTGCCTTGGTCTTAAAGCTTATATGGGATATTCACCTTAATAAAGAGAGCTCATGGGTGAAGTAGATACATGAATACTATGTGAAAGATGTTTCCTTCTGGAATCTTGAAGTGAAACAATCTACCTCCTGGCCAATGAAAAAGTTGCTGAAAATGAAACAATTTGCTTTGCGATGCGTTAACGTGACAGTAGATGGCATTGAATAGATGGGCGCCGGTGAACCTTTCTCAGTGAAGGGAGCGTATCTGACTCTAAGTATCCAGCACACTAGGAAATCAGAGTACATCCTATCTTGGGGTAAGTTTATTGTCCCAAAACATGGTTTTATTGCTTGGCTAGCATGTCTCAACAAGTTGAAGACAAGGGCCAAAATCTTCATATATGACCCTACTATTGATAGTAGGTGTCCTCTGTGCATGATGGAGGAAGAAAGTGTTGACCATATGTTCTTTGAGTGCCTATTCTCCATTCAGATCACTAAAACCATGGCATTGTGGGTGAAGAGGTCCAGTCATTCCAATGGCTATCTTTTAAGGAATTGATGTTGAGAAAATATGGCTCAAGTTCTGTTAGGGATGGCATTACTAGAAGAGTGATGGCAGCAGCAATATATCACATTTGGGAGGTGAGAAATCAGGTTATTTTTCACCATATGAGGGTGTCAGAAGCTGAGGTGCTTCGGAGCATTTCATTCTCCTTGAAGATGAATCTTGCCAAAATTACTAAGATGAAGAATACACGTAAGAACAGGCTGTGGTGCACACTGATGAAAATCTCTCCCCAATTTGATTGAAATGCTAGATTTTGCTATCTTGTGTGGTGATCTTTTGTGTATTGACATATAGTTGTAGGTTGTTAATATTTTGTTGTATACATCTCTTGAGAAATTTTAAGATTGTACTTATCTTATAATTCAATTGGAATGAAAATCAACTTTCATCCAAAAAAAAATCTCCAAGGTCTTTGATTTTAATGGATCTGGAGAAGTGATGCGAAGGGGATTTCTGATTTAATTCAAAATCCAGAACAAAGATCATTGCAAAAAAAGCAATGTTGATGATGATCTAGCTGCAGAATCCGATCCTTCTGCTAATATTTTCCCAATGAGAATCAAAATTGCAAATCTGAAACCCAATTTTCTCTCTTTTTTTCTTTTTTTTTAAATCAAACTTAAGTGGGGCCCACAACCTGGAAAAAATTAATAAAAAATAAAAAATTAACGTTTGACCGAATTTGACCGTTAAATTTTTAAAAATTCCGTTAAATAGATCAATGTTGGCGAATAAACGAGAACCTTGTGACTAAGTTTATAAGAAAAAACTTAATGGTGACCAAAATTTGTGACCAGGACCAAAAGGACAAATAATATCAAGCAAGGTATACCTAGCCAGTGCATGTATCACAAACTTGGTAAAAGAAAATAGTCATTTTATTCTTTTTTTTTTGGCATTTCATCCCCCAATTTTATCCCCTTTTTTTGGGCATTTAATCCCCTAATTTTATCCCTTTTTTTAGCACACGTTTAATTTTAAACCTTTTTTTTGGCTTATCCTGTTAGTTTTATATTATTTTATTTTATGAGATTTTTTTAACGATGATTTTATTTTGGTAAATTTTATATGGTTCATCACCGAGACTTATGAATTTGGAGAATCAATTGGAGCAAAAAATTTCAACTGATTAACAATGAAATCCGGAAAATTAAGCGTCAAATATGGAAAATTTTGATGGACAACGATATTTATTTGGATGAATAATTATATAATTATTGATGAATAATGATGTTCTTATGGTGAAATGTTATAGATGAATAAATTTAAATTTTGCAATGAATAACGATATTCACAAAGATGAATAACGATGCAAATATGATGAATAATGATCTTATCCTAAATGAATAATAATATTACAATGAAGAATAGTTGTAATTTTACAAGATGAATAATTGTACCTTAATGAATGAATAATATACGTTACTGGATGAATAACTTTGATAACAAAAGTATATATTACAGTGGGTTATTATCAGCAACTAAACTAACAAACTTCTAATTATGATTATACTAGACAAAAAATGAACAAAAGAACTAGTCATTATTTTTAATATATAAGGTCTTGAAAAATTGTCGATGTTCGATACATATTTTTGTTGATTGTTTGATTTCAGCAACTCTGGCAAAATATTTGATTCCCGACCGATCGACTTCATCTTGATGACCATTTCTTTGCTAATGATCAAACAAAAAGAACATTGTAATAAGTGAGATTTCACATTCAATCAAAACTCTGTTAATCATCAATAACAATAATATTGAAGATGAATAATCATTTTGAAAATAATGAATAAGTATTAAAATTAGATAAATCGAATCTAGTTACTAAAATCATGTACATGTACATATTAACTGATGAATAACAACATCACTGGTGACGAATGACATATCCTTGCATGATGAATACAAATATCTATGGAATGAATAACACATATTCAAATGATGAACTATTCAAATTCACGTGATAAATGATATACATTCACATGATTATATCAGATCACTCTTTAGATGAATAACCGCATAGTAGAGGATGAATAAGCATCATATTTGTATATACCTAATCCAGACCAAATGCCTACAATGAACATATATTTAATGAATAACGTTTTAATAGACGATGAAAAGTCATGATTAACATGATGACTAATCTTCAAATCTGCATACATCCAATCCAAATCAAAATATCAGCAGTGCACATATAACATGATGAATAACAGATTCACAATGGATGAATAGTCACTTTTAATGGGATAAATAAATCAGCATATCGTACACTATATCCATAAAACGTAAATTATATTTAATCAAAACCTGAGACTCAATGTCTAAAAGATCAGAATTTTTGACGATTTCTTGCTCCCAATTTTCTATGAATAACCACTCATTACGGATGAATATTTAAAAAAAAAAATACAACAACAAACTGATGTTCAACGACAATAAATTGATGAACAGATCAAACTGATGAATAATGCCCAGATCTATTATCGATAATGAATATCTCATTATCAACGATGAATAATAATATCGAAATAATGAATAATATGCAGATTTATTAATCTCTTCTAAAAACAACAACAAATCGATGAATAAAGCTGAAAAAAAATAAACAAACATTTATAAACGAATAGACATATCTTAGATCTACATAACCCAATCTAAAACACATCAATTGTTTAAAAAAATATTAGTATTACCTTCTTCTCTCTCTTCATTCATCAAGTTGCTCTTATTCGAATCAGAGTACACAATCGTGGCCCTCCTCATGAATATTTCAGAAAAAATATTATTATTAGAACTTCATACATGGAAGAAACAAGCAAAATTGGTGAATAAAATCATATATTACCTTAATTCTCATATTCAGCAATGTATACTGCAAACAAACTCAGGGGATTTGATGCACAACCGGATTCCATCTTCAAAAATAACGCCGATGAGAGGTTATGATGCCACATTGCTGCAAAGATGAAATTTGGGTTTTTAGATTTTTTTAGTTTGAGACGTCTTTGGATTGAATGGAATAAAAAGTTGGATATGGTTAATGATGGCTAAAAGTTAGGAGAAATATCAGGAACTGAAGATTTGAAATATTCTTTTTGCGGGTGGATTTTTCCAGTCACCCAAATTAGTACTTGAAGCCACCAATTTTGAAGAATTCTCATTTTACCCCTATCATTTTGTCCAAACCCAAATGAAATAGAGAGAGAGGGAGAGGGAGAAAGAGAGAGAATAAGCCACTCGGACCGAACTGGGCAAGTCATTCGGTCCGATTCACGTGAGAACGGATAAATTATTAATTTTTATTTAATGTTAGTTTATTCGCAGTATCGTTACATGTTGAATACCTCGTACGTTAAATATTATTAACAATATTTATACTTTAGTGCTTAAACTCTCGATTTTATATTTACTTGAAAATAAACAAGTAATTAATTTTTACTTGAAAATAAATTTAAGATTATTTGTTAAGTTAATTTATTTGAATTGATATTAAAATATAAATTTTTCTTTAATCATTATTTTAAAGATAATTTTTAGTTAAAATAATAGTTATACATTTATAATGAAAAATAATAATTGTACTACAAAGATTGTGACAAATATGTGCAAATAGATTAACTATTTTTTGTACTATAAAAATTGGTGATACTTAATGTAACTCAAATAATAAATTATTCATAAATTTAATGACCTAAAAACTAGATTAACTAATTACAACAAAAAATCTAAAAATTTTTAAAAAAATAGCAATGAATCCGATTGATATTTTTAAATTTTTAGAGTTTTTTAAATAACAAATATTGTTATTTTTTAATTAAAAAAACAAAAAAAAAACAAAAAATTAAAAAATTAAAAAAAAGGGCCTGACCGGTCCGGTTCACCATATCGGATCGAACCGGGTCCGGCCGAGCAATGAACCCGTCCCAGGGCGCCCGTCCCGAGTTAATCCGGGACGGGCAATAAACCCGTTCGGGTGAACCAGTGGGTGAGTTCTTTGCCCGTCCCGGGTTAACTCGGGACTGGTGGACCGCCCGGTCGGTCAATTTTTTTTTTAAAATTTTAATTTTTTTTTTATTTTCTCTCTAGTCAAGTTATTTGATTTGAAAAAATGATAAGGGTAAAATAGTTAAATTTTAAAACATTTGGCTTCAAATGGTAAAAATAGTAGCTTTGAAAATAAACACATTTTTTTAAAAAAACCTCCTTTTAATTGAGCGCATATTTTACAATCTGGGTATACCTTCCACAGAGTACCTACATGCTCTATATTATAATTAGGACCAAAAGTGCTTTTTGTACCAAAAAAAACAAGCGACCAAAAAAACAGGCGTTTGTTACTCAAGAAGAGCAGAGTCATTATTGGTCGTTGATCGGACTCCTCCTCCTTTGAACGGAGATCGTCTTCGTTCTTCGGCCTCTGTGCCACCGACCACCATGTGCTCATTAGAGAAACGCGGCAACCTATTCATATTGACTCTAACCGGCGACGGCGAGCACCGATTAAACCCGACTCTGATTGACTCCATCCGGGATGCACTCCGGCAAGCCAGGTCCGAATGCAGTGGTTTCTCAGCCCTAATAACGACGGCCCAAGGCAAGTACTTCACAAATGGCTACGACCTGAATTGGGCCGGAAGCAATGTCGGCCGGCAACAGCTGATGTCATCCAAGCTCCGTTCTCTCGTTTCCGACCTAATTACTTTCCCTATGCCCACGATCGCCGCCGTCACTGGCCATGCCTCAGCGAGTGGGTTTATCTTGGCACTCTGTCATGATTATATCTTGATGAGGAAGGACAGGGGATTCCTTTACATGAGCGAGATGGACATTGGGTTGAAAATTTCTCTTTGGTTTGGGGCTCTGATTAAGAGCAAGATTGGTTCACCGATGGTCAGGCGGGAGGTTGTTATGAAAGCAGCTAAGTTGACGGCAGATATGGGAGTTGAAATGGGAATTGTAGACTCGGCACATGCTACCGCCGCGGAGACAGTTAGTGCTGCTATGAAATTAGGAGAGGAGTTGGTTGAAAGGAAATGGAATGGACATATTTATGGCCAAAACAGGATGACTGTCCTGTATGATGTGTTGAGCTCACTAGGATTTGATGAGACGGTGGGTGATTATGGTGGCGCCAGTAAAATCTTTTCAAAGTTGTGAGATTGTCAACTCAATGCCAATACCACAGGTTAATTTGAAGCGAATTTCTTCAGTAGCCAGATTGTGAACTACAAATCGAGGTTCCTTCTTGGTTTAATGTATCATGATTCACTGTGTTTTTCTGCTTGTAAAATATCATGAATTTGAATATTTTTTGTATAATAATATCATGAGTTGAGTGTTTAAGTTTTGTCCTGTGTAGAATTTCAGCTGGGTACATTAGACAATAGGCAGTACTTTTCTATGCTCTTTTCATTTTTCGGTATTGTTTGCTTGCACTTCATTTTGGTGACGGGTAATGGATGGTATCATAATGCACATATAATAGTATGCACATGATTGCACACTGGTTGTATTTGCTAATTTGTAGCGGTGTCCTAAACCTTCATGTATCATCTCTTAGAAGCTCTTTTCTCCCATGTATATCTCTGTTATATATAGTGTGCTAAAACTGATAAGGGGGAAATTTTAATGCTGAAGACATTTGATAAAACTGATGGAGCTGATATAGCTATTCATGAAGTTCCTTTGATCATGAAGTTCTCTGCTGAAAGTGGCACCTCCAGTATTATCAAGCTTTTGAAATGATTACAAACTATTTTGATTGGGGTTCTAGGGAAATGCTAGTTGTTGCACTTCCTATTGTTTGCATTGAGTAGCAACAGTGGCTTGATTAATGGGCTCAAGCAGAAAGGGGAACGGATACCCTGGTGCCTTTGAGAAAAGGAAAGAGACTTAAACGAAGAGTAAGTTCCCAGTTTATAGTGTGTTTCCGACTATGTTGAGGTACTTCTAGCGTCTAGGTTACATCAAACCATTGGGAGGTACATGAGTTGCTATGTCTCTATTATTCCATATTCTTGCTGGATAATTTTGAACTGGGTGACTCGAGTTAAATGAAGTAGGAAGCAGATGATATGGCGAAACTTTGTACTGAAATAATTGGCTGAATTCTGTCCGGGTCGTAGTCAGAAAAGAGATCTAAAAGAAGGTGTATCAAATGCTGAACACATCGAGTGCAGACCTAAGTTTGTGAAAGATCACGACATCTAATCTTTCTTTAGAATATAATACCATTTACGTAGTGCAGAACATTAATAAGGAAGCTGAACATCTGTCTGTGGTTGAAGATCTTGTTTAATTTTTATAAAACGTAATGGCAACAGAGTGCTGTTGAGCTAGCATCTCTTAGTTTGGTCAGACATCATTTTTGGTTTTTGATTTTTTCAAAGTCTGGTGGACTATACTGGTTGGATGAAGTATTGTGGCTTTTTCAAGGTAAGATAGTGTCCCTGATAGCTCAGCTGGAGGTGGTTAAGAAAGCAGCTATGCTGATTGCCAATATGACAGTGGAAAGGGGAACTGTGGACATGGTACATGGTAGCATGGAGGAGACAGTGATGCTTTGAAATTTTGGGAGGACTTGGGTGGAAGGAAAGGGGATCGACTGTCCAAGCCTCCATGGTGAAAACAGGATGAATGTTTTACACAATGTTTTGAGGGCGGGATTTGATGAGAAAATATGCAATTATGGTGGTGGCACCAAAATGTTGGAAGTTATGAATTTCTGACCTAAAAGAGAACTCCAGTCACACCGGTGAGTTAAATTAGCCCTACTAGCATGTTGGGGACTTCTTCCTAGTTTTCGAGCCTCTCAAAATGCTTAGAAAGGCTAGTTTTAGCATATGAATTTTTGAGGGTTCCTTCTAGGTTTAACCTGTTCTCATTCACCCAGCGTTATGTTCTCTCTGCCGAAGAAAATAGTCCACAGATTTGTACTAATTTTAGTACAAATCGGAGACTATCTTTCTGGAACGGAGAGAGTATCATTTATCTGAAGTTTATATTTTATCCTGGGAAATTAAACTAGACAAAAACTTATTTTGTTATGGATCCTCTCAAACTTCTTAAATATAAGAAGCTTATAATTGACGATTGACTGTATCAGTTTCTAAAACAGATCCTGATGCCAAGGTTTGATTTTTTTTTTAATTATTTTTTTTTTTGGGTCAAGTTTTTACATGTAATAAGCGGACTACTTATGCATAAATGTCTGTTATTTGTGTGTTTCTTATTGTTCCCTTTTCGGCATACTTCTCTCATCTATTAATTTTGGTATTTCGTGTAACTGATATCAAAATGCTGGCAAATTAGCCAGAAAATGCACGGCAAGTCCAGAATGGCTCCGGGTCTTCTGTGACACAATGGTGTGACACTCTTTGTAACACTACGTAAAACCATGACAAATATTCCATTAATTTAAAACACCACTAACTAAACCAAATTTTAGTTACTCATCTAATTAATTACCAATTAATTTGCCCATTTCAGAAAAAGATAAACAAACAAAAAAATCCCTCCCCCTTGTATTCTTCGGCCACTACCTTTTCACCGGCGCCATCACTCCCCTCCATTTTCCCACACGTGATAATTAGTTGGGAAGTTATGCTCGGCGATGAGCTAAATTTGTCTGTCTTTCCATACCTGAAATCCATCCAAGTCTAAATTCAATAATATGTTGTCTCCTAGTTCAAATTTTAGATCCTTCCTGATCTCATTATAAGCACAACTCTCAGCTAACTTGCATGTGTTCTCGAATGAGTCTACCTTCTCTCGTAGGATCCTTCAACCCATGATATTTAGTTCGAGACTGAAAAGGCCTTTTTCCTTTTTCTTTCCTTTTTTTTTTAAAAAATAACCCTAGAACCTCCACCAAAGACGAACAATCACGTTCTGCTCTCTATAAACCGAAGTAAAAAAGTACATCGCCCTAAAAAAGTCTCGGTTTCCGGAGACCACCCCAATTTCGTCCTATGTATTCGTGTCACAGCATTGATAAAATGATCGCTATATATATATATATATAGAACATCCTCTTCCGTAAGGTACTGATCCTAGCTACAGAAATTAAGAATAAAACAACATTGTAACTTGAGGGCCGTCATAGGGTGTCAACAACATTGTAACTTGAGGACTGTCTAGGGTGTATAAAACATGAATTTAGAAGGAAAAAGAAGGGGAAAAATGGTAAGAAAAGGAGTGGCCCTATGCATCCAGAGTTTCAAAAAGATTTCCCTCTGTTTCTATTTTTTTTTATTTTTTTTTTTTGCCCGCATAAAATTTTTGTTTTTGTTTTTTGTTTTTTGTTTTTTTTTTTGCTTCCACTTAATGATCCATTTCAGGTCAAAATAGTTGAACCGGCTGAATTAAGTTAAACAACAATGAATTTAACAGAAGATTTCTAAATGGTGAGATTAAAAGAAACAACACAATGACAGCTGCAGAAAACCTAAAAATATACAGCTTTACCATTTCAAATCTTCGATCCTGGTCCATTTGGCAGCGCACAAAGAGTCAAACTAAAATCAAACAAGAGGCATATTCCCAAACAAAAGATAAAAGAATTTCCAGTGCAAGTTGGGCAGATTAATTTGCTTGTCTAACTTGGAGGCTGCAGGCTAGGAATTGCATCATACTTCTTGATCCACATTGAAAGTAAACTCTCCTATTTTAAGCATCTTCTTGCAACCCTCTATAACAGCATCTAATTTGAGAGCTAAAGCATCCTCCTTGCCTAATGTCATATGAAAAGAAAAGCCACAATAAAAAAAAAAAAAAAAAGAAAAAGAAAAACACAGAGATGAATGGTCAGCAGCGATAAACATAACCAAGCTGAATCTTTTCTTTAAGATCCAAAAACACAAACGAATGAACTTTGACTGTTATAATTTTTCTTCATAGAACAAACTCAATATTTCACATTTATAATAGCATATATGCTGAAGAAAGTACATCATACCATCTAGGACCTTCATCTCAGGGAAATTCCTCTATATTCTAAGAAAGAATGATAGAAAGCAGTAAAACCGTAGAAACTCTTCATAGTCACACCTAAAATATCACCAATTGCCTTTTCAATGTGGATTACATCTAGTCAAAGACACTGAACCCAACCTACCAAACCCTATAAGAAAAGAAATAAGATACGAAACCCCACAATCAAGCACATCACCTCACTATAAAAGTTTTACTTAACTAGAGAAGGCATTTTAACGTGAACATTTAGAAAATACAAGTTGATCCGTAAATAGACAAACAATAAAGAAGACATTTATCAGCATTTACCGAAAGAATATTATTTAGGATGGCTCCAATGGGACATCAAAACGAGATTGATTATTTTATGGTATATATCTAAGTCTGCATCACTTTCTCGACCTCAAGAGCTAAACTGATGGGGGGAATTCCTACGGAAACTACAAAACATCATGCCAGAGACCAATAATGGAAAGAAAAACGAAAACTAAGTAATTAAAGAAGATATCCTAGTTTGCTTTGAGGTTTTACTTACACAAGGAATTTGACCCTCATTGTTTTCAGTGATGTCCACCCCTAGCGTAACTACAGCTCACTTTCGTAATTTCCACATTGTTTTGTTCCGTGAAATAAAAGCAATTACACATTGCATTAAAAATCTACTATCATGATTTAATTTAGGCACTGTACCTTCTAAAATCTTCTGAATATTTTGGTCACAATGGACAACCTCATCTTGTATCATACGCTTCTGAAGACACTGCCAAGAGAAATGATGGTGGAAGTCATTCTCTAAGAAATTTGGAATGATGAAGCAGACATTAGCAATCGATTTCAGAAACCACCAAAAATTGAACCATCAAGAAGAAAGAAATCATAGGTGGAGAATCACAAAAGGTCCCTTGACGAAAGACCAAGCAGGTTGAGTTGTGAGATATTGCAATACAACAAATGATACAAGAACGGGCCTCCAGATTGCATCTATTTGCAATGAATTGTGTGAAATAACTAAGAATCCAGAAATCCTAAAGCTGAAGCATTTATGCATAGCATGTGCTCAACTAATGACAACAGTCCATTGTCTATACCAAGCACTCAACCGGTCTCAATTACAAACCCTAAAACATTATTAGGCCTACTTCACTCCATGAAGTGACCAGTATATATTCATTGTTAATTGAAAGTTGAACATAAATAGCGACCTACACTCTGAGCAGAAGCAGAAACATATAGGACACTCAAATTCATGATGGTAAATAAAATAAAACTCTTAGGATGCTTGCCAATTTAAAACTGGCAAGTTGTACTCCGCATCCAAACAAGTAGAAAATGAGTATGACATCAATCGCAGCATTCATTCCACAATATAGGGAACTAAATATGACAATCCATGACGTGTTGGCTTCAATCTAATGCAATCTGCCACTTCCATTCTTAAGCCCAAACACAGTCCTCTACTTAAGAATTCCCTTGTTTCCAAAAAGGAATCAACTATAACAATAACAGCAACTTTATTGATGCTGACGAAAATGAAGCCCAAAATTATTTGTAGAAACCCAGGATTCCACACCCTGATTCATCATAAAAATCTTTTTCCTTAGAGCAAATAAAAGTTACAGCTACAGAAAACTTACCAGTTTAGTTCTTTTACTGAAAAGAACATTTAGAGCAGTTTGTGTCAATTCTAGGTCCTTCTCAGCAATTGTAGAAATTATTCCGCAATCTGCTGCATTGATGCTATTTTCAGCAACATTTTCTTTCCTAAAATTACAAGAAAGTGATTTTGGAGTACCAGCTGTGTCAACCTGGAAAAGAGTTGAGATATCATATTAGAAGTTTAACACGGAACACGTAGCTAAAAGACTCGTTGAAACTGATGGAAAGAAACTAGGGCTTTATAACACCAATATGATACTAAAAGCATTATAAAATATCATAAATAAATAGATACGCCTAAGCTTATCACATGAAAAAAGAAAAAGAAAAAAAAAAAGAGTCAACTACAAAAAGAAACATAAATTTGTGAATAAAGGTAACTTCTGGAATCAAGTTAGAAGATAGAAACATTAAAACACGTAATGTTCTTGTTAAACCTACGGTTCCACTTTAGACCTAATGTGAAAACAAAAAGTTTATGCAATGTAATAGACCGCATTGAAGAGAAACCAAAATGTTATCCAGTAAATTAGTCTCTTCTCTAAACCTTGTTCATGTCACTCTTTCTGACGCAATCAAAGTATTAATCTCCATGAACCAGCATTTTGTAATGTTTTCCGAACTATATTCAATATATTTACAAATTACACAAATGCAAAGTTTTTGAAGCACTAACAAGCTGGGACTAACTGCTTTCTTGTTAATAATTAATAGAGCTCTTTAACTTACATAGTTCGGTCACATTTTGTAACCGAAGCTTCTCAAATAGATTATAAAAGAATAGATTGATCGTTTCTTACTTTCCCTAAGCTGAAACCGTTTGCATTTTCATGTTTAACATAATCATATTTGGGTTAGTTGTCTTGTTTTATTTACCTCTTGTAAAAACCAACATTTTTGCTTTTTCTTCTATATTATCGAATCTTTTTGTGTAATCTTGAAAAGCCTGTCTTTGCTTCATTAGTCAATTTTTGAACTTCCTTAGAAACTTTTATATCTTCAATTAATATTTTTAACTTTACACAATGCATAAGTTTTGTAACTTTTCTCAGCTTTCACTTTTTTCTTAAATTTCTCCCTTCCTCCGCCAAAAGTTAATCCATTTACTGCCTATTAACTTCCCTATCCTAGCCATAATTAATTTTGTTTGACTACTTACAGTGACATACACTTCTTTCTCACGTTCCACTTGATAATCTAAGAAGAGTTTTAGCAAATATTTATTGCTGTTATATTAGAAAATCCCACCAACCATTCTAACCAAAATAGAACTTCAGAACCCAGTATACAGTTTTCCTTGCTTTACAAAGAAAGAGAACTGCCTGGAAAGTATATAACCCCACTGCTCATCAAGAAATACTCTCTCATTACTAGGTAATGGTTAACCACTAAAAGCTATTTAACTAAGAAGTTAAATTTGAATTTTTACATACATTGAACTTTTAGCTTTGACAACCAAGAAGGTTCAAACCGCAAGGTACGGACTACAAATTTGACAAAAAATGGATGCAATCTAGCTCGTCTACAATTTCTACATGATGCTGATTATTAACTGTTGACAACACTTAGCCATCGGGGAAAAAAAGACTCCAGCACCCTATGTATTGGACGATCTAACTAAGGTTTGCATCAAATAAGCAAGTCCTATCCACCAACAGCCCCAATTAAAAAAAATACGATAACTTCAAACTAACTCTAGAAGTTTCTCTATCAGTTCCATTCTCCTGATTGCAAGAGATGTGGCCAAAAGCTAACATTTGAAGTTTAGGTACTGGTTTCTCCTATATACTGACAGATGCAAACTAGTGGTGGAACCTCTAGATCAACACCATAAGATGACTGAAAGCAAAATAACCAACTTAACAGAAGAGTGTAGGGAGGAAATGAAAAATAAAAGTAAATAAATTCACATACATCTATGCTGGTACCAGCTACGGAAGAAGAAGAACCACTCTCCAAAGCAGGCTTCCGCTTCCGGTGATGGTAAAAACGATTAGGCACCTCCAGATTTTGATCTTTGTGTCTGTTGAGAAAATCCATAAGTTCATTTTTCTGCATTTTTTGTCTCTTTCTGGGAGCATACTGGATAGCCTGTAGATTAGGACTAGGACATTGTTTTGAATCTTCTAAAGTATTACTGCTCAATCCCTGGCACTTTACATCATCACAATGTCTATCAGATTTTTCAGTCTCTATAACTAATCTCTGTGTCTTTTCAGAATTGTCACCACTTGTTTCTTTGCCCCAGGAATTTCCATTTACAGTGTTTCCCAACTCTTCAAATGATGAATGGGTGATCTTAAGGCATGTCTCAGATCTATTTATATCTTCAACTTCTAGCTCCGTTTGTGTAGAGTTGTCAGTACAAATGGTCCCTTCACCAATGTGAAGGAAAAGATCACTTTCTAAAAGTTCGACAGCTGAGTGATTGATGTCCAATACCTTATTGGTATTTTCAGTTATTTCAACTTCATTCTCTCCTCTGTAGCACTGGAAAGTATCAGTTTTTATTTCACAACATACACCATCCTGTAACTGTTCTGAATTTGGGTGAGGGATATCCAAAAAGTTATCAGATTTTTCTATTCTCTCAATTTCTATCTCTACCATCTCAAAGTTCTCTGAATCAGTTTTCCTTCCGCTGGTACATGGTACATTATTGCTGTTTTCTGACAGCTGCCCTTCTGGTTGAGCAATTTCTACGGACTTTCCCACGTTATTATTTTCTTCACTTTCCATTGAGTGATTGGAATCCAACAACTTTTTGGAATTTTCGGTGCTTTCAACTTCGGTCTCTCCTCTGTTGCACTCAACAGGATCACTATTCAGAGAACAATAAACACCAATCTCCAATTGTCTTGCATTTGGGTGACCAGCGTCCAAAGAGTTATCTGATTTTTCTGAATTCTTGGTTTCTATCACTACTATCTCATCATTCCCTGAAACAATATTCTCTTTGCTGATACATTGTGCATCTTTGCAGTTTATCGACTCTCTCCCTTCTAACTGAGTAATTTTGAAAGGCTTACCAGCATTAGCATTTTCTTTACTTTCCATTGAGTGATTTATAACAAACTTTTTGGAAATTTCAGTTCCTTCAACTTTCTCTCCTAGGTTGCATTCAACAGTATCAATTTCCACCTCATAACATGCACCAATGGATAACTGTCCTGCATTTGGGGGAGTGATGTCCGAACTGTTCTCTAATTTTTCAGTTTTCACAATTTCCATATCTACCATCTGAAAGTTATCTGAATTAAGTTTGTCTTTGCCCGTACATGGCACATTATTGCAGTCTTCTGACATTTGCCCTTCAGGCCGAGTTACGGCATTATTATTTACTTCACTTTCCATAGCTTCCAATTTAAAATCATCAGTACCATTTGATTCTTTTGCACTACGCTGTGCATCAATGCTATTTACCACCATTTCCAAAGCTGGGTGAGTGACACCAAAGGATTGATCAGAACTGATCATTTCTCGAGCTTCTTTCTTTACTTTCTGAGAGCTTTCCTCAGCAAGTGAGACACTTGAAATTTCAATGTCTTCAGCTTCTTTCTCCACTAGCTTAGAGATTTCATCAGCAATGGCCTCAGTACCGCTGGATTTGGCATCATTGTAGCTTCGATCACAGAAGACCGGAAACATACTGAATTCCTGATAACATGTGCTTTCCAACATTAAAGATCTTTTATCAACTATGTCTTCCAATCCAGTACAATAATTCTGCGAAGCATTTGAGATGGCTTGCCTACTTTCAGCAAATTCCTCACTGCGATTCTCATAGAATTTCTCCAAGCTGCTAACATCCAAACTCGCTAAGCCATTCGGAATAAATTCCCTGCAATATTTAATTACTTCGTAAAGGTTCCATTTTATAACCAACTCTTGGTACCACCAAGGATCATCAAACAACACCTCATCCCCATTAGTCCAATGTTGCAAGTGATTTTTATCAAATGGTGCATGATGATAAACACAGAATTCAGCTTCACAAGACTAACGAGCAATGCTAGCTGAAACTTTACTCCTAAGCTAGCAGGGTCCGTTAATAGCCGAACACAACTTTACAAGGTACATACATGGATTGTAACTAAACACTAATAATATAGAGCATGGCATCACCCAAAATCAACGAAAAGCAACAAAACAAAGACACCATCTTCCTCATCATCATCACACCCACATGTTGATTAACTCCAGAATTAAAATTAACATGAGCCTTCTTAGTCAACAACATCAACAATTAATGAACTAAACACTTCAAACATGCAATATAATCATTGGCAACAATTCCCTGGATAACCTACAACATTTGGCCATAAGCCTTCTTAGTTTACCATTTAACTTTAATAGAATTAATGAAAACTAACAACACCAAGATCAATGACAGTACATATGAAAAAAGCTGCACGGTGCGGAAAGTGAAGAGATGAGAAAGGTGGAAAAGAAGACAACATTATTGGTTCTGGAAATTTTCAGTGTAAGAAAATAATTTTAAAAATACAATGAACCATATCTGTTGAAGTCGGTGTGGAAGATTATTACTAGAAAAGAATGACTTGACAGACTAGTATAGAAAAATAGAAATCCAGGCTTCCAAATTTCCCTTCAACAAGAATGATAAATTGGGCCAATTGGTCTTTGTTTTTAACTTGTGTCAAGTAGAAAGGAGATTGGCTTCACTAAGATTAAGTAGAGTGGCTTTAGGCCAACAATTGGGTCGACAAGATAAATGGGATTACTTTTATAGTTAAGTTCAAAATATATAGCCAAATTGAGTTTAATCTCCTAATTGTCAATTCCTGAAGCATTGACCAAGGTAAAACATGACTGAACTCCATGTCATCACAGCCATTCCACTTAAAAATTTCATCATCGAAGTTCAAATTCGCTCACGGAGCAACTAACGGCTTAATCCTTATGTCCACTTTCAGTTTTTCCCCAAAAAAACAATTTACTCGTTACTAGCAATTCTCTAGTGTTCCTAACATAATGTAGTAAGGTATTCATTATAAATAAATGTTCCAACGTAGTAAATTAAAGCTGGGATTGATTAAGCAGTAACTATAAAGCATTGAACAATCATTCATACATTTCCGATGCCACTAAATTTTCTCAAACACATAAATGCTTAAGAACAGTATGCAAGTACCAAGCAGTAGAAAAGAAAATGAAACTGAACTCAGCAGCTGTACCTTGAGCACCATCTAGACATAACCTTGGCATAAGGAAGCACATTATAATACTCGACCACTTGGGTTTGTGTCCAGCAACCAGAACTCCATCTCAAAAGTGGGCCCTGCAAACTGACATAACAAATAATAATAACCATCTTAAACGATTGTGGTGAAGGTAAAAACAAAACCTCTATAAGAAAAGGACAGTCTCAAATGACAACAATAGAAGTTAAAAGGCCGCCACCAACAATATCTTATCTATTAATGCCTATTGCCGAATATTTTTCTTCCTCAATAGTATCATGTATCCCCCACTCCAATAGAGGTCACAGATTAGCTGAAAGTTCCAATCTAAATCGTGTTTTTACCATGAACTAATCCATAATCTATTCCATAGATAAAATTGCTTCATGACCTTTTAATAAAAATGGTAACTTTCGGGAAAAGAAAGGTTGCATCATTGTGGAATATCATCAGAATGTTCACATATTATTGGTCATCAAGCTCTCAACACAACCATAAAAATACTCAATTGAGTCTATTAATGGCTTTGATTATAGCCAATGGCTCTAATATCAATTGATGCTGATGGATGCATGAAAAGAAAGAACAAAGATACATTCACAACCAAACACTAGGCTACTTCAGAAACCAAACATAAAACTATGGAAAAACTATTCTTCAATAACTCTCATTCATCAATGCATGGAATAATTTATCGAAGGAAATAACCAAAAGATTGTAATCTTCTAAGAAGCAAAACCTTTCAAAACTTTACTTTCATAATTATTCTCAATAACTAAGAGCATATATACACCTGTCCTGCATCCTTTTCTACAAGCATAATCAAGGGATAAGTTATGGTGGCACAAATGTTGGGTAGGGGAAAAAAAACCTTATCATGGGGACCAATGTAATCCCAGATTCCATTTTTAACAATTCTTTAACATGAGAAAGAGTATTTCTTTTCAAAGGATTTCATTTGAAGAAGTTACTGTTATCCAACCTCCTTCACTGTAGTTATTGTGTTGTTCAAATTTATACATTTACACGCAAAGAATAAACAAAGTCTAACAGAAGCCTCTATTATAAACTTAATTAACAGGATTAATGATTGTTCACCTTATAACACAAAAACAAGAAGATAAAACTAACCTCTCAATTGTATCTTTGATAGGGATTTCAAAGTCTTGGCTGGACTGGATGCATTGCATAATGTAGAAACAAGAAGCTGTTTTATCTTTGCTTAAGGAGTATACCACATGCCTCTCCAAAACCATGAGTTCAGACTGAAGGATTCCTGTCTCACATTAGAGATCCATTAATATGCCATTAAAAATTAAAATAAGCAATTACAAACATTTAATTTATATAGTGTTTGATCAACAATCTTAAGAGTTGAAATGAAGTTTTTTGACAAACTATATGTAACTAATGATCAAAGACATCAATTACTCAAATGTTTGTAACTAGTATTGATTATATGAGGACAAGGATAGATTAAGTGGGCTCCTCAACAAGAAGGGTGGGCACCCCGAATAGCAAGTGAGCCTTTGAAAATCGAATGAACGGATAATATCAAGATGCTAGAGTTATAACAGCAAAAGAAATTTCCAGGTATGCAAAATTTTCAATTTCCGGGACCGAGATCAGGGAAACCTTTAGTCTTTATGGTTTGGACAGAAGTTTCAGGCCAAAGTTCACAGAAAACAACCACGCATATAAACGCTGGACGAGTTACGACCAGCTTTTTTCATTCACTACACGTGTCTGTCATATTTCATGCACATGATCAGCCTTTGTTAGTATTTCTGATCCGTTTGATAGGACATCCAAAGCATAAAGGGATAACTTGAGCAATTACACTTTTTTAAACGAGGAAGAAACTTAAGAATTTTGCAAACACATCAGACAGTATTTCTTCAAAAAAGTTTGCTTCAAATCTGTTAGTCCGTGTCCTAAGAGATTATAACTTCTTACTAAGGAAGAAGACGTTGATCACCATCCTTTCTTCAACGCCGAAGAGAATAAATACCACTTCTACAAACAGTGTCCATTTTTGAAAAGCACATTTCAGTAGATATGGGAAAAGAATTTATACCTGTAGCTTTCTCAACTGCTGAAAAAGCAACCTGTTCAAAGCCTGAATCCTTGGCATCATATTTGTGTGTTGAAGTCCTTCCCCCTTCTCTCATTGAGAATTCTGAATCTATATCGGAGACATTAAGAAATTCTTCAATAACAGACCAAACACCATTAGTGATGGAATCGTATAGCAGCAAACAGTTCTCTTTCTTAGAGTCTATTAGTAGAACTGAAACTTTTCTGATAGGCCATTCTTCTACATTTTCAGCATCCCCCAAAGTTTCTAAGGACATAGATATACTGCATGCATCCATGATAGCTTGTTCTGTCAATGAAAGCTGATTTCCCAAGCCCTTCGATGTCGTAGTTTCACCTTGATGCGCAAAATTCATGTGGGATGCTAATGCTGGTTTTAAATTTAGTACCAACTGACAAAATGGTTCATACTCTAAAAAACGCGATTCTTTGTGCTGCTTCCTCTGATAGTAGTTGTAAAGTAGCACAACTGCATGCATCTGTAGAATAACAAACAGTGTACATAAAAAGTTTGCAAAGTTAACCAATTGACATTTCACTTTCACATGTTATGCTTTTACAGTTTAAGTGGTTAAAGTAAACACCAGGAGTGGAGAGAGAATGGTCTTTGTTTCCAACCAAAAGATCTATTTTGATAAGGAACGAAAATCATAACTTCCTAAAACCATACAGGTAACCCAGTCATAGGTGCAGTAATGCAGAGACATTAATGTTGGCTGATATCTTTCAGCCGTCTCATGCTTCCATCAAGAAGGCTCCAATGGTATTGACTTCTTAATTAGGAAACTATTTCAGATTTTTCCAACCATTTTTTCTTGATTGTGGTATGGAGAGTACTCCTCACAGAGAAATTCAAACCCGAGCACCATGTAGTGGAACTGAATCCTCATTGAGGTTTTAGTTTTCAGGGTATCAACTCCTTGCAGCAAGTACTACATTTGAGAAACAGATTTGTCTAATATGTCAATTCTAGTTTCCAACCACTTAAGAAAGAAAGATATGAAGGATCCCTTCTTTCTCGTCAAAGTAAAAGTTTAATCAAAATAGGGGAAAGAAACAGGACAAGAGAGCAATCTCAACTAGTGAAGAAAAACAAATGACACCATAACAATCTACATTAACAGTAAAATTACACCATTAAATGAAGGTGAGATACCAACTTTCAAAATACATTTAAATACAAGCTAGTTGAAAATGCTTTATCTGTACTATATGTGTATGAAGAAATGAGCAGATGATGCATTTCAGTGAAACAATGTAATCAATGGCCTACATGTTCATAAATAAATGAAATTTTAGGTTTCATTGAATTACACTTTAGAAACTGAAGCCCAGGAGCAGTTCAGACAGTCAACATCACAAGACCAAATTTCGGTTCGAACAGTTTTCAAAATCAGTCTTGACCAGTGTAAAAATTGGTACATATACTCAACCGGCCAAAATAAGGGTCGGGATGGAACCAATGGCTCAGATGGAATCTGGATGTTTCCATAGATAGATGTAAGTAATAAATATAATGGTAACTCAGGTACTTAGATTTCATGTTGTCCTACACAAAACAACATACTTACATCTCACATAATGAAAACCATTTTAGTTATCACAAATCGAATTTGTGCATGAAAAAACAACTAAGGTCAAAACTAAAAAGACTAACTTCTTAAAATCTTTTGCAGGCCTTTTTTCCATAGATTAGAAAAGCTGTGCTATACTTCACTGAGGATCAAGATTACTAAGGTTTCAGGTTCAGGGCATCAAGGATGCATTTATAGAGGAAATGCCTATAACACGCCACTCCACGTCATACTTTGATTACTTCTAAGCATGAAGAATGCTAAGAGTTATGCAATGAAGGGCATAAGGTTAATGTGAGAACAGATTAAAATTTAAATAATGCAATGATCGTAAGGTAATCTCCGGAAGAAGTCCCGATAGATCAACAGTTTTTTTGTATGTAAAATTCAAAATCCCATCCCATAATAATAGAAGTTGGTGGACAGGTAGTAAACAAATTGAGAAAAAGTTTGCTGTTTAATTTTAATTATACTAAATTTGGGGTAGGGGTCAAAAGAATACAAACAAAAAGTTCTGTAAGGACAACTCTTCCATCCCAACTCACTTCACTTTTCATTTTAAAATATATTATACTGTTCCAAAAATTCTTTTTTCACGTCCATCATAAACTTTTATATTTCCAGTTCAACTTTTAATATGTTTTGTAAATAAAAAGAAATAACTAATAAAATCAACATAGGATGAAAACAATAACAATAATGATAACAATAATACGAACTATAATAATAAATGAATACCCACATGAGAATGAAAATGAAAGTGAAGATAAGAGAAATGGAGAAAACATTGTCACCAGGCTGGAAAAGCCATTTGACTACCTGTGAGAGCTTGTTTCTATAATAGTATGAAAAGCTCATTACAAATTGTTAAGTGGGAATATGAGGACTAGTAAGAATGAAGGTGAAGATATTCAAATGGCTTATATATAATTGTTGAATTGGCCATCAACAATTATAATGAAAAGATTACATTGAAAGAAGCAAGTAGAGAAACTTCATATAATTGTAAATATGGGATAGAATATCAAGTTGGGGATACAAATGGTAAGATTGAAAAATCAAATGCTTTAAAAAAAATAAATATGAATAGAAATGATCAGGGAGTAGAGAATGGAAAACACATACACATGAACAGGCAAAACGGACAAATAGGGAGTTGGGGGTGGGGGTGGTGGGGTGGCTTTCAAGTAAAATGCATAAAAGATGAGAGCAAAAGATGTCACGTCTGGTGAGAAATTAACAAGAAAAGATCAATAGCAGAGATACCTAAACCAGAACTCACATCAGCTAATTTAGACAAATATGAGAGAAGTATAAACTGCAAAGGACCGCATAAGTGAAGGGAGAAAAAGAACTAAAACACTAAAGGTACAGTTTCCAATGACACTCCGCTTGAGAACAATGGAACTGTTCAATAAAAGTTAGAGGTACCATGGCTAACAATTTGGTTTAATGTAACGATACAATAAACAAAACCTCTATTCCTAATCACAGAAGAACGGAGCTAAATCCTTCACTTTCTTTCTAGACAAACAGACAACATATACACAGTCATGACAGCTTTAAGCAACTAGATAGCACGTTAACAGATACAGGATTGACCATTCGGAAGAAGAGAAGAGAGAACTGGAAAAGACATTCAATTCACTAAAGAAGAAGTCGATATTCCATCAATCATTAGTCAATATTTGATAGCAAAATAGTTCACGAACCAAAAAAAGTTTCAGAAGAAATAAGAATATGAGGCGCTTGGTTTCCTAGTAGCAACGTTTTGGAGTATGAATGTGATACAAATAAGTAATGATAACAGGTATGCAAGAAGCATTATGTTGCTTGGTCCATCAAAATAGAATCAACATATAATCCATTTTTACCCTTTTATCTCAAATTAATTTTTCTTGGGACAACTGGAACAGAGACGACAGTGGCCAATCCGGCAAACTGTACTTTCCCACCACAAAATTAACACTTTCGCCCATGCTGCCCACCCAACTGGTTGAGTTTTATTTGAGAAACTTCTTCTAACAAGCAAACGAGATGAAATTATTTTTCAAACCATTTTCAGCCACCAAGCCACAATCACCAGGCTCATTTTTATTCGGGAAAATTTCTTCTAAAAAGCTTAGGAGATGATAATGGTTGCTTATCCATTTCTGGCCACCAACCAACAGTCATTAGCAATCACACAAAACCAAACAGAAGACCCCAGATAAGAGTGAGAAGAAGTAAAATAATCGCGAAGTCATTTATTCGCAAAATCCACTAGTGTTATTCGGTTTGGAGAATACTCCCGTACACGCGTTTGGTGGCACTGTCCATAATGTCATAGTTATTAATCAAACAGTTCAATTTGATGTCCTACCAATAAACTCAAAATCATGCCCGTCCACCAAGCACTCATAAGATAAAATTGAGATGGGCACATAAATACAAAAAAAAGGGAGCAGGTCAAAATAGAGGGGGGAAAGGAGAAATACCATGAAAATAAGTTTAAACATAAGAATAGTACCCATTTAGATGTCCCAGGACAGAGTGTACATTGTGCGGTAGTAACTATGTTTAGAAGGGACAATGAGGTGAAAACTCGACACCCTTGTAATGAAACCACTAAACAAGACATGAGAGACTTGAACCCGCTCTTCGTGAGGAAAAAAGAAAAAGCAGAAATCAAAAGGTAAAAAAGAAACGGAAGAAAGAGATAGCACAATGTGTAAACAATGATCTTGAAACAATTATTTTGTCCCAAACTTTCAAGAATGCTAATGATAATTGCACCACAATAAAGATCGACAGTGGTAATAATTCCCATTAATCTGTTACCCGAATATAAATCAAGAGAAACAACATGCATATGAATTCAACGAAGAGAATGGGAAAGAAAATAACCTGCTTAGCCACAGACTTCTGATCAGAAAGTGGAGGATTCTTGCGAGAGACCTTCAAAGGTAACATTGGGTCTACTAAGTAATCCAATAAAGCCTTCACTACTTCTTCGGTAGGTGGTGTAACTTCTGACATCTTGGTATAAATTTTGAATACAAACCAAAAATAAACAGAAGAGTGATCAATTTAATGGGCAAAAGTAAGGTAACATTGCCAATTTGAACTCGTTTAAGGTGAGAAACAATTAAATTAAGGAGCAAACAGCTTCAAGTTCACAACATAAGTTCCAAAGCAAACATACATTATCATACAAATTTCAGAAAGTTTCTTACCCTTTAAAGATTGGGTAACTACAAAGCATCTAGTAACACACATGCATTGGTTTTTACACACTCAAGCATAATCAAGAAGAATGATTGATATTTAAAAACAAAAAAAAAACAAACAAACAAAAAACAGAGAAATTTTCTGACTGTCATGTCTTATCAATCCCTAGTCTAAAAACCAAAAGTCTTAAACTGGTGGAACACCTAAAACGAAAACCAAAAACACGGAACTCGGCTTCACTACGCTTTACTCCTAAACCAGCGAGGGCAGCTAATAGTCAAACACATCTTTACAAGGTACATGGATCGTAACTTAACTACTATTGTCGTAGAAGATGACAGTGACATACTCCCGAATTACTATTGAAGGCTGGACTGGTTCTTGTAGTGTCATGGTTATCGGAAGCCTGGACCACTTTGACATCATTTTAGGGAAGGAATTGATACACAAAATATAGGAACAGCAATTCCCTGAAAAAACTACAACATTCTTTCTCTCTTTTGCTCTTGCAATACCTTCCGGCCATAAGCATTCTTCCTCAACAAATTAATTTTAATAGAAATAATAGCAAGAAACAACAATGGCAGTAGAAATCAGATTGAGTACCAAAAAAAAATAATAAAACGACTAATGAAAATTGACCCATCGCCAAAACTATTAATCCACTATATTCCCAAATCAATTCAAGTACCTAAACTGAGCAGAGCACATCAAAACCTACAAATACGGGAATGAGAAACTAGCTGGGTCTCCAATTTACCTTAGTCCTTCTCTTTCCGTCTTTCTCTTTTTCCTCTTTCCGGTTTGTCTCTTTCACTTCTTTTGGCTCGATTGATGATAAGTTCTGGCTTCCATTCCCTTTTCTGTTTTATTAGAGGAGCAGAAATGGTGGGTTTTAAGAAGTGAGGGTGGTGAGGCGTACGAGGAAGTGAGTGAGAAGAAGAAAGTGCGGGAAGTGAAAATGGTGGAAAAGAAGACAACTTGGAATATTTAAGTGCAATTAAAGACTGTTTTTCTGGGACATATAATTCAAGACGTCTTATAGTCCATGATTTAATGGTAAATAATTGTTGAAAATTATAAAATCTAACCACCTCGGTCTCATAAGAATAATGATGCATAAAAAAAATCACAAGGAAAACTAACAAGAGATAATTTGTCAATCATCAAAACGATGTCATAACTTTAAATACTTAAACATAAACGGAAAATGTTAAAAATGAATGACTATGGTCAATTTCTCGTTATTTTTACTTGTCATTTTTTCCATGTACGTATTATTATTCGTCTAAAAGAATAGTCCAATTTAAAAAACTTAAATATAAAACTTCGATGATTCAATCTTTCAAATTAATATGAAAAATTGAATAAACTTTTAGAAATATTTATCAATTTTAATAATAAATTTTAGGTTATGACAATTTCATAAGTCCAATTTTAATATTTAAACATTTCTAAAATTAGAATTTTTTTAAGAGACAAAGTATATTCGATTTCGGACACAAAATAAACGCACTCAAAATTTGAATAAGTTTATTCAATTTTAGTCTTTTAAAATTTTATTGGACACATCAACTAAACTAATCAAGATATATACTTTTAAAACAATAATATCCTAAATCAATTTCCCTTTAAAAAATACACGTGGGAACGCGTTGAAAGTTTCGTCCCAAAATTTAATAAGCTCTTTTGTTGCCAAGTGGCTCCTTTCTGAAAATATATTAATGTGTGAGTTTCTCCCTAAATGGTCAACATTTTTCATATTATTTTATTTATTGTGTCTAATTTATGGTCAAACTGTTTAAAATTCTTTTCTCAGTGTTGATTTTATTTTCTTTATCAATATATATGATTAAAATTATTGACATTGTCATTCCCAATATTGACTTCACATTTTTCATTAAAAATGACATAATTTCCTAAATTAATTTTAAAGTCAGTTAAACAAAATAAATTTTATTCTTGAATCATGTAAAATACAAAGATTTGGCCAATCAATATATATCTTCTTAAAAGAGAAGACCAAGAAAAAAAGTGTTGAAGTGTGGCATTGCAATTTAAAATTTTTCCTTCAGAACACATTAAGTCAAAATTGTGTCGTTTTGATTGAAAATAAACTTTCTATATACATAAAAACAAATTCTTGTTACAAATGCATAAAAAAAAAAAAGACATTAGCTCATTCTATTGTCAAGAAGAGAAATTTTAATTACATATTGCGCTCTAATTCATTACTTTCTTGCCCAAAAAATGATGTTGTATATGATAAAAGACTTACTAAAATTTCTTAGCTAAAATTATAAAAGAAATAAAAACCAAGAAAACATTCTTTTTACATTCCAACTAAATCATTTTTTTATTTTATTTTTTTAGGTGAACCAGGACGGTACCTGACGGGCATCCCCCGATTTTATTGATAATAAAATAGAATACACAGGCAGTGTTTAAGACTTACCCAAAGAGAGAGTCTGTCGTACAAAGATTTACTAAAATCTCATGACAGCTCTATGTTTTAGTAACTAAGATGATGTCTTGCAAAAATTTTGCTATAATCCCATGACATCTCTTTTTTAAAACATGAAAGAAACTAAAACCTAAGAGAGTGCCTCACAAAGGTATAAGATTTACCCCATGGGATCTCTTTTTCCTCTAGTATAAGCTGGTCTAGTATCCTATCTAAAATCTTATGAGAACTCATTGAAGGCGCGCATGCTATTTAACCCTTAAATAGGGAAAAGAGCATTTGTCAAGATACCATTTACCTCTAAGTGTGGTTGGGAGATCATCTTGATGAAGGTATTATTTAATCTGTCCCCTCGCAGCTGTTTTGGCTAACTCGTCTGCCATTGCATTATTTCCCTGAAGATATGGACAATTCTTGAATTGAAAGTGTCAAGCTTTTCCTGTTTTTCTTTAAGAACCGAGTGAAATCTCCATGGAAATCTTTGTGTTTTGCATAAGATGCTGACAATTGCCTTGTTATCCATTTGGACGATTACTTGGCTTAAACTTCTTTCTGTGTAGGCTCGTAGTCCATAAAGGATACCATTTAATTCTGCTTCTAAGCTTGTGGCTATTCCCATATACTTGCATTCTACATGAACCAAAGCTCCCTTATGTCCTCATATTACAAAATTCCATCCGGCTTCACCAGGTTGCCCTAACGCTGACCCATCTATATTTAGAATCATTCCCCCAGGGTCAAGTGGTTGCCATCTTAGGGCTTGAACTATCGTCTTGAGTTGGGTGGATATCTTTATCTTGAAGATTTCCTCTATCTCTTGTCTTTTGTGCTCCGTTTTTACATACAACTTATGAACACTTAAAAGATTGGAAATGTGAGATGTAACTGTATGTACTAAAGCATTCAAGGAAAAGATTTTACCTTCAAACATTATTGAATTATAAAACTTCCATATCTCCCAAAGAATGAAGATAGGAAGTACCATAATAATGGTTTTTCTTGCTATTGTATAACTACCTTTTGAGTGCTATGCGTGTAGATTGCTCCACCAACCTATATGATTTTAGGTATTTATACTCATTAAAGAAGAAAAATGGTTCCATACCTGACTTACCTTTGGACATCCAAAAATGACATGATCAATTTTTTCTTCCTCCACTCGGCAAAAAGGACATCAGAAGGATAAGAATATATTCCCATTCGCTGGACAATTTCTGGAAAAGGCAAAAGGTGATTAAAAAGTCTCCACATGAAGAAAGAGATTTTTAAAAGGGATCACTTTATTCCAGACATTTTTAAGATAAATAGATTCTTCCCTTTTTTCCCGAAATTCAGCATAAGTGTCCCTAATGGTGAACCCCCGCGTTGAACTAGGTTTCCATGCAAGTTGATCCAGCACATAATCAAAGGTCATCGTCGTATTTGTAAGACTTGCTAGGGTTTTAGGGTGCCACACTTCCTTCAATTCTTGAGTTCGGCTAGGGAACCACATCCAAACCTTCTCGAACCATTTCAAAATCCAGCCAATTAGCATTCCAAAAAGAGGAGGATCCATCGTTTATAGTCATCTTGGAACTTTGGGATGCTTTTTGGTGAACTTTAGACACTCTTGACCAACTTATTTTATCCTTTGTTGTCTCTGATAGAGAGAGAATGAACCTTGCCCAAACTCCTTGTTTTGTGTTGATCTTCAACCGGAGCTTCATAGAATAAGCCTCAATTGTGCCCTTCAAACTACGAAAACCTAAACCATTTTCAGCAACCGGAAAGGTGATTTTATCCCAAGCTCTCCAATGCTTTTTGCTACCATACTCATTTTCTACCCAAACGAAAGCTTGACACTTTTTTGCAACTCTTCGATAATTGATTTCGAAGGGGATATTGCTGCTATTGTATGTATAGGAATGGCAGATAAAACATGCTTGATCAGAATTATACGTCCTCCCACCGAGAGTAGCTTCTTCTTCCAATTCCCCAATTTCGCTTCAAAAGACTCTAATAGATGGTGAAAATATTCTGCTTTCTTCCTTCCTTTGAAGATGTAATAGCCCAGATATTTAAATGGTAATGTACCTTGGGGCATTTGCAGCGTTTGAGTTACCATAGCAATATAGCTTTCGCTTCATTTCTCCAAGACCAAAAAATGACTTTTTTGCTTGTTCATTCTCTGCCCAGAAGCATCCTCATATTCTTGAAAGAAATGGTTAAGATTTGGCAACGAGTTCTTCAATCCTTTGGAGAAGATGATTAGCTCGTCCGCAAAACATAAATGGGATACAAGTGATGCTCCCGCTGGAACTCCATAGCTTGCAATCTTTCCGGAGAGCACTAAAGTCTTTAAATTGCTTGTGAGAGCTTAGGAAACTACTAGGAAGAGATAAGATGAAAGAGGATCACCTTGTTTGATTCCTCTTGAAGCTTGGAAAAAACCCGTCGGTGCGCCATTCAGTAGGACCGAAAACCAGCTCCTCAAAAGATTGGACATAACTAAGGAAACGAAGTGATGATGAAAACCAAACTTGAGCATTATTTTTCGAAGGAAGCTCCACGAAACTCTATCGAAAGCTTTCATCATGTCGACTTTTAAGATCAAACTTCCCCCTCTCGTTTTGTGGTCAAGGAATTGAAGGAGGTACTTGGATAAAAAAACATTGTCTATTATATCCCGGCCTTGTAAAAACGCAGATTGCTCCTTCAAAATCAGCTGTGGAAGGACGACTTTTAACCTCTCCGTAAGCAGCTTTGTTAAAATTTTGTTGAGGAAATTGCACAAGTTTACTGGTCGGAAGTCCGCAAATGAAGTTGCTGTATTTTTCTTTGGAATCACAGTGATGAGGGTCCTTCCAATGGCTCGTGGAAGAGGAACTCCAAACATAAAATCCATATAAGCAAGTTTAAGGTCTTCGCATATGATTGGCCAGCATTGACGATAGAAATCTCTCCCAAACCCGTCACTTCCAGCTGTGCTAGTTGGATCCAAACTGAGCACTGCTTGTTTAATTTCTTCTACGGATAAATCAGCCAGCAAAACAAAATTGTCCTCCGCGGTTAGAGTAGTTGGAATGCAGTTCAGAACAGAAGTGCAAGCCTCTTCATGATTGGCACATTCTTCTTTGGCTAAAAGTTGCTGAAAAAAAAAGAGATCGCTTCCTTTTGAATTTCTCCTTTATCAACTATCCAAACACCATCTGATCTTCGAATTTTGTGAATTCCTAGGGGAGCTTTTTCCTCATTCAGTGAAGCATGAAAAAATGTGGAATTCGGATCACCATCCCACAGCCATTTTAACCTAGATTTTTGCTGCACAAAGTCTTCTTTTTTCCGCAGTGTGAGTAACAAATGTGCTTGAGCTTGATGTAGAGCTATTCTGTCCGCAGCTGCCCCCGTTTGATCATAGAGAGCTTCCTTAATTTGAACATCCTTTTCAGCTTCCGCAAAGTTATTGAAGACATTGCCAAAGACGATTTTATTCCATTCCTTTAAGCATTGCTTGAGCTGCCACAATTTAAGTGAGAAGGCAAGCATTCCATA